TGTAAATTACCATCCTCAGCTTCAAATGAAAACTTAAAGACAGAGCTGAAATCCCCATGCTGGATAAACTGGATGCATGGAAGCATTGGGACATGGAAACATGACAAAATGCACTGCTTTTTTAAATAAAGTCAAGCTTTTTCTTAGATAATTGAAAGGGGGAAACATGCAAATACAGGAATGAACAGCTTATTCAGAAATTAAAATCACATAGAGTCATGTGAAATATGATAATAAAAAAGTACAAAAATATCATGCAATAACAACCACTCTACCCCTATATAAAGGTAGACCTCTTATTAAAAATATACATTGACCATGCAAAATTATAAACTACTAGCATTATACATGGAATTTATTACAGAAAGTAATTAGAAAGGACATGCTGGTAAATTAGCTTTTCCAAATTCTGACCAGAGTTGCAGTGAGCTTTTTAACCCACCAGTGCATTTCACAGGATGAGCAGATGTCTCTTGAGATTTAACAGCTGGCTATTTTGAAGTCCCAAATCCTACACTCTTGCTTTTGCTACTTTTAACACTCGGGAGCTGTAGACCACTTTCAACATGATCCAAATGCTTTGCAAATGTCAGCATATATTCATAGCTTATAAAGTAGACCGTAACATCACATCCTTTTGTCAGCTTACAGACACATGGACAAGACAAGTGACCTGCCCAAAGCCAGTCTTGTGCTCAATCCAGTAAACCCTGGCTCTTTTCATGAATTTCAAAGTGCAAAATGGGACCGCAAAAATTTTAATTAAAGGATGTGCTTAGAATGACATACCGCACCATTAGTCCATGTTTTTGAGGTAAGCTAATGTTGCAACTGAGGGAAATGATAAGAGAAACTGAAGGAGAAAAGAAATTGCAGCACGTATTGCATCAACAGGCTACTACTTTCTAGCTTGACTTGGATGTCTGTGCAAATCTGAGAGACTGGAAGGAGATAAAATTATGAGTATTCTGTTCCATGAACCTGATTCAGACTGATATATGGTAGCTGAATTTGTCTTAAACCCACTGAAATTAGCATAGTCTATTTCACTGAAAAACAGTTTTCCAAAAGTTCCAAAAGAAGTTAACCAAAAAGTGTGTGTGTGTGTGTGTGTGCGCGTGTGCATGCTTATTTTTAATTAAAAAAATCTTTAATCATAGAATCATAGAATTGTCTAGGTTGGAAAAGACATTTAAGATCTTTTTTGAGAAATATAAATTAATGACAATTTTTAATTTTGTGTAAGCATTCCCATTTCAAAATTTTTTTCTTTAATTTTTCTTACGGAAAAAGAGTGCGTCAGAAGAGGAAGGGGAGAGCCATATCAGAACAAAATGCTTGTTTTCATTTTAAAAAAACATTTTATTAGAAACTTGGAAGATTCAGGGAAAAATTGAGGATAAGATGAAAGTGTTTTCTTTCCTGAATTAAGTATGACTTTTTCCCCTGGAAATTCAGGTTTGGCCTGACATTATCTAGAAGTAAGCATTAGAAAAAAATACATTCTAAAGAACATTTCCAGCCAGGCTGGAGACAGGTGAAAGTGATAGAATAAGACTTATATTTCCAATATATATGGTGATCTGCTAATGGACTTAGTATAGGCATTCACAGTTAGATACTGGCTCATTTGTGGCAACTGGAAGATGCAAGAAAATCTGTTTGGATAAATGGCTAAGGTAGGCTCACTGGCAAGTTCACCGTGTCAAAGACAGTGTACAGGATCAGATCAGAGTATTAATAAATAAAAAAAGACTATAAAACGAAAAGTTCCAGCTTGTTTCACTCCCTTTCTCCTTTAAAAAAACTTTCTCTTGCTTTTAAACTGCCCTGTCCTAGTGGTGGGTGCTTAGCTAACCACTAACCTCCCCAACTGTTTTCTCATTCAACTGGTGGGGTTTCTCAAGCTCACTTTGCTCTGATCAAAACATTATTATGACTATTAATAATTCATGTCAGTTACAGCAAGGATTAGAGAGAGAATGTGATATTTGTGTCTTCATGACTCAGGAATGATGACAGAGGCAAAGCGTAAGCATGCTGTAAGTGTGCAGGAGCATTCTGATGCTAAAGTGCATTCAACATGTCCATCTCTGAAGAGCATATCATGGAAGGCAGTCAGAAAATAACACCTGCATCTGAATTGCATCTATCCTTCATTTAGGTTTGCAATTAAGTTCTCTGTTGCCATAGAAAATTAAGTAAATGTCCCTAGGAGGTGATGCCATATTCTCTGCATCTTGGCATATTCCATAACACACTGCATCTTGCCTTTTGATATGTAAACAATGTACATGATTTTTTCCCCTCAAATGACAACTTTTAACAAGAGTGCAAAAAACCCATCTTTTGAACTGCTCAAACTCATTCAAAATGTCTGGAGTTCATGGACCTTGTTATCACATTGTTATTTGCAGAATGATTTGAAAAATACATGCAGGTTAAAAAATAAGATAAAATAAAGCATGCAGTGCTATATACATGTCTCAATATCCATAAATGTGAAAGGTACCTTGCACTCATCTACTATGACTGAGTTGTGAGCTGCAAAAACACATTGGTTTGAGTTGTTTTCCCTATGATTTTTCATGTCGTCATAGATTGACTGAGTCTTGGTCATTTCAATGTCTTCATGCCCTTTATGATGGGAATCAATGGTGTCAAGTTCTGCCTTGGAAAGGTGGTAGACAATGCCAGCACCAAAAGAATCCCCCACTACATTGACTGACGTTCTCATCCGGTCCCTACAAAAGAAGCAAAAGGCAGAGGCTGAATGGCATGAGGAAGAAAAAGTAGGGCATGGCAGCCCTGTTAATGTTACAGTTACTGCATTTATTTCAGAAAGTTTAAAGCATCTTTAGAACAGAAAGATGGGAGCTTTCAAGTGAAATTGAAAAAGCTTGCTTTCCCAGGGGACTTGTTCAGAAAGGGAGGATGTGCAAACTCCCATGTGTCTCAGCTGCTCATACTCATGGATTTTGGCAAAGAACTTGCGCTAGAGACACAGCCAAACTGCAGAGCTGTGCTTGACTGAGATATCTCCAGCACCTGCTTCTGGAGCTGAAGGTTTCAATGTCAGGGTGCCAGGCTCACATCATTGCCCTTTTTTTTAATCTCAGTTTATCAGAGAACTGAACTTAATGCATACAGAGAAAAGGATTTTGAATCTGATGAAGTGTTCTCATCTCTGGGACGGATTAAGAAATGGCCTCTCCCTTTACTCTCAGTGAGCAAACTATAGGGGAAAAAACGCCTGAAATATCTCCATAAGGCTCAGGCCACTGAAGCTCCCCTCCTGGCACCATCTTTACAGACGGTCATCTGTTAGCATGGCAGCATGCCCACTCACACTACCATACGCCAGAGCTCAGCATATGAGCCAACCAAATATAGGTCATGGCCTACAAAATTATGAGCCTGTGCCAGCATTTCAGTAACAAGTGCCCCTTGTTGTAGGAGGGTGCCGACAGAGGCTCACATGCTTCATTACAAAGAAACGTGTTTGTTGGCACTTCCTGGACAGGATGCCATTGGACAGACATGCCATCTTTCTCCTGTCTTCTTTTTAGAATGTGGCTCTGTCAGCAGTGAACTCATACTTGTGGATTTTCCCTGATTTCAGAATTCTGCCCCAAACCTGCCCAAAATTCTGCAAAAATAGGAGGTGGTCTTACAGACCACTGCAGGACTATAGGCTCCTGCCTGCTTTCCTGCTGCAGGTAGGCTATATTACACATGTTGAAATAATTTACAATCTAATTTGCCTCTTCATATCTGAACTAAACATAAGACTCCTAAAAACCTTCTGGCTGAGGGTTGCAATTTAAAGCTACTGCAGCAACTGAGTCTAGCTTTGTGAAATAGGTCAGAGAAGCGATTACACTGATTGATTCTCAGAGGTGTATCCATGAAGACTCATTTACACAAAATGGGCAGGTTGAACAGTGTGGACATTTGCCAAGTGACAGAAAAGCCAGCACCTAAGACCTCATTTCCCATGATGGTGATTAATTTGAAAACACCCTTTCTAGTATTGCTGGTACTAGATTTGTGTGACATCTCCTTTTCCCGTAGAACACTGAGAAAAACACCCTCTAAATATATAAACCCCAAACTGATAAACATTCATTACACATGCCTGTTCGTGGCCATGATAACTTTTGAGCCCTTTTTATCATCTTTGCTCTAAATATCTGTAAATCTGCTTTTCCCAGCTGTGGAACTCTATTGCCTTTCAAGTTCCTCCTCTCCTTCTCTACATTACCATGCTTACATATTTGGAGTTTGTGGTGTAATATCTTAGTTGAAGCAGTTCATTTTTATTCTTTAGTCATCAAAAGAATACCCAGAAAGAAAAAAACCCTCCAACAATCCCCCCAAAACCCAAACAAACTAACAACCCATAGGAGGAAAACATCCTTCCAGTTTTGCTTCACACAAATCAAATGCTTTATACAGTTCTCATCCCATGCCTGTGAAGAGTGTTTTAAACCTGGTCAGTTTGCCAGAATAGGAAAATATGACTTTCCAAGTTTAATCTTTAATTAAGACCATCAAATATACTGAACCCAGCAATATAGCTCCACAAAAACAACACCTGCTTATTTTTTTTTTAATGAGTGGTATTAAATTTTGAAAGGATTCACTGATGCCAGACAATGGAGGGATAGTATAGGATTCAAAAAAACCAAGGTGGAGACAATACATAAATACAATTGAGGCACAATTCAAATTCTGAAAGGGTCATTTGAGGAGATGCTCCAGTCCTATGCATGTACCACTATCCAAGAGATTCAGCGATACAAACTGCACACTACTGCAGAACATGCTCTACTGTGTGAACCAAAGTAAACAAGTAAGTTCCTTACAACAGAAAGGACAAAGTCTCAGCTGTCAGGAATCAACAGCAAAGTGCCACTGACCTCTTTTGGGCCAAAGAACACCCTAAGAAGAACAAAGATGACTGTACTTACTCTTTTGTTAAAAAAACCCCAACCAATTAATTCCAGCTATGCTGGAATGATGTAAACAAAATCATTATAGGAAAGTTGCAGTCCAGTAAATTACTTGCCTCAACACAGCTACTTCTGCATTGTCCATAACAGCTTCTGAGAGGAATAATAGGACTGAAAGTCAAACTTCTCTCTCAAAAGCCAACTCAATATCTGGTAAGAATGGGGTTCGGAATAACTGGGAAGTAATTCTTTAAATCCTGATAAGGGTTAATGCCTAATTTCCTCAAACTGGCATAAAACAGAAGAACTGGAGGATTAACAATGCTTAGAATAGAAATGAGAAACCTAGAATAGAAATGAGAAAACTGAATCAAGCCCCCCTGTTATTAATGTCATACTACCTATATAGCATGCTAGTATGCAAAAAAGTTACTCCTGTTCCCTGAAAGCTTGCAAACCTGGTATATCAACCTACTAGATTTTAGAAAGAAGATTAAAATCTTAGCACACCTGCTAAGTCAGACACCAGGTGACATGTCTAACTTGCCTTATCTCTTTGTCATTATAGCAAAGAGCTCCTGTTTTCTATAGTTTAATTCGATTTATATAAGGCCCTGTTTATAACATCCAGATGTCAACTGGGTCTGAATATTCTGAATTTAGATCTAAGCCAAGGAACAGAGTCAGAACTCAAGCAATCTTCTTCTGAGGTACTGAATGAAGGTTTAAATATTGGATCATCTATCCAAGCCCATTTTCTCTAATTTCTCTCTCTTCACTGCAAAATACCGCTGTATTTGAGGTTGTGCTATGATATTCGCTAAGCTTGTCAGTCTCACATCTGGAAAGTAGCCAGCTTCTGGCTAGAGCAAAAGAAGTTGGTTTTATTCCAGCTGTTGACATATAATTACTGTCATATTAAATGTCACTGCTGTGTTGTGCTTAGTTTTAAACTGAGAAACTATGAGAGTTGTGAAATCTTGGGAAACTTGCCTGGTGAAGAGCTCACACTGTGTATGTACATATGGGAGGGGGAAAGGTTGAGCAACCTAATCTCTAGATATTGAAGAGGCTTGAGAAGAAATTGATACAGAAACCTTTTGGCTCCAATTTGAAGGAGAGAGTGCCAAGTGCCAAAAGTCAGCTTTGTGTTACACCAAATTGTGCAAAACGGGTTTTGGTAAGACTACAGTTTCAGATGATAGTTGTATAGTAAAATCAATTGATGGTCTGATATTTTCTTTCATCAGAAATATTGAAAAACTCATAGAGTAGGACATTTTTTAAAAGCTTTCTTTATCTGGAATTGAAATGTTATAAAAGACCTATTCCAAATATTTCTACATGGTTGGTTGCATTTACACACTGGTCATAGAAAAGTGGCTGGAATTGGGTCTTAAATATTTTATTAACTTTCTCTTCCACATTCTGTTAGAAATACTGCTGTAATGTTATTTGATGATCTAAAGAAATGGAAGAAGACAATGTTTGTAAGTAAAGAAAATGTCTTATTATGACCTTTTGTTTCAGGTATTCTTTAGGTCTGGTTTGTGTGCCCAAAAGCTTGCTCAAAAGTTGGCTTGTGTGCCTTTTCTTAACATCAGCAATGTCAGCAGCATCATTTTCAATATTTCATTAGATCATCGTGGCTACCACAACACAACCACTGGAAGATGGAAAATAAAGCTATTAGCTGTTGACATATGTTAATTAGCACAACACTTCCACCAACAAACTTTGTCTGAACTTCACAGCACTACTGGCATGACACAGAACTTTTAATCTCCTTTTTATCTCTCTTCCCTTTTCTCTCTACCTTTCAATTCTGAATCATGCTGCAATTGCACTGCTGATTGTTGGGCTATAAGGATCCAAACCCAACCATTTGTGTTGAAAGGTTCTTTTGCCTGGCCTTTATTTTGGAAAGATACCTTGAAATATTTCTTTCAGAAGTTCTATCCTTCCTATGCTTACCTTCATCACTGCCACAGCTCCACAGTACAGACATTTTTATTTCCTAAGCAGGGTTGGATGAACCAGTGGTAACAATGCTGCTGAAGCTGAGCCTGAAATGCAACACCTACTAGTGGATCAGAACTGCTGGTAAACTTACAGCTCTGAGGTTTGCTAGTGTGGGCAGAGCTTCTCAGTCTACAGGAATATTTTTAAATGACATTTCCCTAAAAAAACAAACCAACCAACCGCAGGCTTCTTTTGCACATCCTCCTACCAGCTGCAGAAACCTACCTATTTGCTTTACTTTGAGAGCCAGCAAAAACATATATTTAAAATGAGTATGCACCTCCTTTTTGCTCTCCTCCTCACAGCTGCAGATTCCTATGCCGCTTTCCTGTTTTCAGCCATGACCTCATAAATACAATAAACCCACAGAATATCACATTTTTCCCTATGCCAGCTGTACTGACTGCTGACCCCTGCCTCATTTCACCATTCTGAGTCATGATATTATGATATTCAGTTATATATAAAATATGTAAGTCATCTTTTCCCTTTGCCTTCCCAAGCTGTAAATTCCTCTTTCATTTTTCCTTGAAGCAGAAATCGGAGCTGCATGCTATTCTTCACAACTCTTAGCAACAAGATAGGTAATAACAGATAGAGTATTAGTAGATCCAAAATACATGTCAGAGGATTGACCAAGTTCTTGAACTCTTCTCAATAAGCCAACCGATAGTGACAGAAAATTAATTTTCTATTTTATCTTCACATTCTCAACTCTGCTATTCCTTCTTGCATAATTTTAGTAGTGTATCTGGGACTGAAAGCTACCACAAGCGGGCAGCTGAGCCTGCTAGTGTAGGAGGAAATGCACAAATAGTAGAGCGGTACTCGTATCTCCCCGTCTGGGCACCACAGCTGGCACAACAGAAGCATATGTCTTTACTACGTAAAAGAATATTAGGGAAGACATGGCTGTTGACCAGAATATACTGTGCTGCAGTGGTACAGGACAACGTAAAAGCCTCTAGAGGCCAGTACAACTTAGAGAACTACTAAGTCCCTGTCAGCTCTGCACAGGTGACAGAAAGATATTCACATTGTCAAATGACAACTTGAGAAAGGATGTGGGTTGTCATATGCTCTGGCTATATTTACAGCTTCTGTATTCAAACGCTGAAGAACAAAAGCCTTGGCAAACTATCTGTGGATTAGCTGTTTCTTGTCAGAGGACCTGCAATGGCACTGAAGGACTTCAATCTCAACTCCTTGAAAATGAAAGTCAGTCTTTACAGTTTGAGGGATCTGTCAGTAAAATCAAACTAGGGAATGACCTTCTCTCTTTCAGTTGGCTTTCTTATTTGTCTTTGGTTTATATCCTGCCCTAGAACAGTTTCTTTCTTAAAAATATTTTACTTTCTTATGTACAAAAAGAAATAGATTTTCCCCACTACAAGCATAAAACATTTGATACTACAAATGGCCAAATCACCCTGAAACTTGCTGACAATATCCTGATGGAACCTGCATTTTCAGCATTTGTCCTTAATTTTAGACCAGAACTATAAGAAACAGAGTATGAAAGCAAAGATCAGAAAACTGTTCTTGAGCTATGTTTGTGATGAAGAGGCATCATTAGGAAGAAGAAAATATATGAACATGAGCCCAAGGGTCTTACAAGAAGATCCTTGACTCATAGAAGCTGACTTCAGTAGCTCTATAACAATTTGTACCAGCTGTGAAGCTGCTTTCAGGGTCTCCTACTTCATCAAATAACCTATTTCCTCCTTTGCTTCATCTGTAGAGGAGAGTCTTATAGTTCTTTAAGATCCATGGCTGAAAAGCACTACAGACAAGCATTACTTTGGTACCTTTTCTGCACTGAGCAGTGGAGTCAGTACAACTTACAAAAGCCAGTCAACAGCAACAAGCAAACTGATGTCCTGTGTAGGGAGACCCACTGCAGTAAGGATCAGAAGCATAGTGACAAGTCCCGCGCTGGGAATACTGGCAGCTCCAACACTTGCAAGGGTGGCGGTCAAACTGCAAAAACAAAAATCAAATGGGGGTAGCAGCAAAAAGGAACATACACTTTCATTGCATACTCATGTGATCATTAGAAAGGTCTTATTTTTAATGAGTTCTTCCTAGAAAACTAACAAGTATATGATAAATCATGGTAAGCTCAGGCCATAGTTTTCATGCTTGTGTTTCTCAAAAAATATTTATTAGGGGAGGCCAGATCTATGGGGTTTGTTCTGAGAGTTGTAAGAGAGTTGTCTACGAGTTTTAAGTTCTGTAAGTTGGTTATGACATTCAGATCTTTGGCCTGGTGTTTTCTGAGCTCTACCAACATGTCCAGGGTGTTGAATGCTGAGTTTTGATCATCCAGACTTGCTGAAGTTTGGTGGCTAGAGGTTGAATTTTCAGGGTGGTTCATTTCTATTTATTTATGGTACTTGAAGACTGAATTGTGAGGTAATGGCTGAGAGAAAGTGGTTATTATGAAGTACAGAAGAGTAAAAGTCTTGGTATCCAAAACTCCCACAGTACAAGCCAGTGGTATACCAAGCCTAGGTACAAATCATCCTAGATGAAAAAGCAAAATTCATCTGATTGTTTCATAAATCCAAACCTCTCTTTGTTTTTCCCTCTCTTATTTTTTGATGAAGACCAGTAGAGTGAATGTCTGTGCTCCAAATGTTTGTAAGAATACAGCACAGACCGTAACAAATATCAACACCATTGGGCAATCCTAAGAAGAATGGAGAATAAATTTGTCAGAGAACAAGCCAAGGGGAGAAAAACAGGGACAAGAGGGAGAGGGAGGGAAAGGAAAAAGGAAAAAGGAATCTCTGTCTTTTTAAACACAGAGATGAATAACATGGTTGTACTTCTGTGGGTGTACCCAACAAATCTGAAAGTGCTTGCAACACAGAGGTAGGGGGAAAAGGTCTCTGTGGGGGAAATCCTCAGCTGTTAGCCACAGGACTAATCTGTGAGGATGTTAGCCTGATTTAGAGCTGGCAGATGGCTGGGTCTGACCCAGACAATCCAGGTCGCAATGCATTTGTCAGGTGTCTGGGTTAGAGTGCAACCTGGCCTACTAAACACCCAGACAGGTCCAGCAGATATTCAGGCAGGATGCTCTGCTCTGCTGTCAGGCTCTGTGTGCAGTGCCAGTTCCTCAGGTACTTCCAGCCTGAACTGGTAAGGGATTGCTTCCAAGCTCTGTGAGGAAATGCTCCTGCCAAACTTCCCACAGCAGCGCTTACAGGGCTGGAGGGGAATGAAGCTAGCACTGTTCAGGTCTAAACAGAGCCTGGCTTAGCTGCCATATCCAAGATCACCCTCTCCCAAAAACAACAGGAAATCAGAGGATTTACATGACCAATATGAAGCAACTAGGGCTGGTCAAAGGCTAATTAAGTCTTTGTGAGTTTATGTCTGGGTCATTTGAATATCCTCAGTATCACAAACTGGATTTGACAGACAAAACCTAATAACCTTTCATTCATTTGTATTGCCACCTCAAGAGATAGTTCTTGTCATATTGTTGTAGCAAAAATGCTATTCTGCATGAAGAAGAGAACCAATGGTTTTCTTACAGATAGCCCAAAGTTGCCACCTGCTTAGTAAATGTGAGCCACAAAGCTGGCTACACCAGCCTTGAAATGGTGAGATCAGGAACAGCTAATGGGTCAGTCCCTCAGAAGAGGAGAAGAGGAGTAAGTCGGGTTCAAGCGTACCAAATTTCTTGGACAACAGCTGGTTCCTGACTTGAATTTCCCTGTGTCCTGGTTTCAGCTGGGATAGAGTTAATTTTC